AAATCTCCACACGGTCGGCTAAAATATTGATATTTCATAATAAAATATGCCGAAACGAAGGCTCGCCAAGCGCAAGGTCCTTGAATGACCCAGTTCGCAAATGTAGTTGCGCGAGACAACGGTCTTCACGAAGAGCTTTCAGCTTTGCACTGCGCGCTCGCGCGAGGTTGTGTTTCAGGTACGGAATACTCTCGAAGCGGCAGAGGGCACACATGATTCACAATATTGCCTACAAGCGATTCACATTAGCTAATATGGTGTAGCGTTTTATTTTCTGTAAATGAGTCAGCCCGACATCATATAGACACTGATGTTTTTTTTTTTTTTTCTGGCACGAGGACTTCTATCTGCAGCAATTCACTTTCGGGAGTCTGCACTCCCCGGTGGTTCAGGCATCGTAAAAGAGCCGGCACCGATATGAACAATTCCGCCCCGCCGCGGTGGTCTAGTGGCTAAGGTAGTCGGCTGCTGACCCGCAGGTCGCGGGATCAAATCCCGGCTGCGGCGGCTGCATTTCCGATGGAGGCGGAAATGTTGTAGGCCCGTGTGCTCAGATTTGGGTGCACGTTAAAGAACCCCATGTGGTCGAAATTTCCGGAGCCCTCCACTACGGCGTCTCTCATAATCATATGGTGGTTTTGGGACGTTAAACCCCAGAAATCAATCAATATGAACAATTCCACGACGGCGATAAGTTAACACGCACACACCACGTCAAAGGCACCAGCGCAGCTATTGCACTGTTTGGCAATGGCCGTATACACATACGCCCGTTGGGGAAGCGCCGAAGTAATGCATTCGTATTAACAGCGTCGGATGGCTTCCGAGTAATACGGCTGAAGCCCGCGTGTTTAGAGCGAAACACCGCGAGCTTGCGCGCAGGAGATGTTTATCGTCGGCTCGAATACGCGCCGCGCCACGCAGTGTTGACGCCATGAATCATGTTTACGTACGCGCGACTTCCGGCCTCCTTCGGCGCACGTCGTCGCAGATGAGGCAAATACACGAGGTGCACACCTGCGCACGTATCTGGAGTATTTACGCTGCGACGCAGAAGCCCTCCACATACGTGGTACTATGCGAATCTCACCAATACGCGAGCACAAGGTGAAGCTTTACAAATATATTACATCCCAGCACAGCCGCTCTTTTACAGTCCTAGCCCGCCCTCCCGGGATGAAGGAGAAGGAGCAAAGGGAGTGTGATTTATGTAGATCGTCAACCTGCATGACACATTGCTTTTTTTTTTCTTTTGCCGTCACAGTGGCCCCGAAAGCTCTGCAACCCTCTGCAATAAAAACGAGTGCAAAGTAATTAACGGCGTTTACGTTAACGCGCGCAAACGAAGTCTGAACAAGTATATCTTCCAAGACATATACCGACGATAATTCACTGCATAATATATTATGAGATGCTGTAGAGCCCATCTTGACTTCGGACAGCAGTTTCGCGTTAGGTGCAGCATTGTGCAACCAAAGGTCATTGCTCGGAGAACGAGAGCGCACAATATGATCTGGCGTTATTAAAAGGGAAGCGCTAGCTAACGCCAGCTGCGCTTGACATTGTCAGCTGTATTGCGTTTCCCGTTCGCGTTGCGCTGGACACTTAGCGCGTCACAGCGTGAACGGAAAAAGAACGTTCATGTAGCAACACACTGAGAAGAAAACAGACGAGACGGGCAACATACTGCCTCGTCTTGCCGTTCACCTGTTAATTATGCACGTGGGCAGACAGCTACTAAATAATTCAATCTATCAAAAAGGTGCGCCCGTATTAGCAGAATGGCAAGCCTGCGCAGTGAAGAAGCAGTGTCGAGAGAAAGAGGGAAAGACGGGGGATGCATTTGCATAATCAGAGACCCGACCTCGCCAACCTTGAGAAGTATATAGGCAGTACGGGCTCGCTAAGATTGGAGCGTGCACTTCATGCATGCAAGGTGCAGATTAAATGGGGTTTTACAGCTCGAAAAACATGCAGTGCACGAGCGAAAATAACGTACCATGTGATTTTTTTTACTTCATAGTCCTCTTTCGCTGATATACTTTCCGTTGCATCTCTGTCACCGCAAGCGGCACATGATGTCCAGAGTCCTGTCTATGAACTTATAATGTGTCTAAGCACTGACACTGAGCCAGTTCTTTCAGAGAAGCAGGGCAAGCGACGAATGACTTCATTTATGTCGCATTTGTTTATTTATATGAGTGACCACAAACAGCACAGTACCTTGAAAATTGTGCTCAGACAAAGTCAGATATCAGTAAAGGATATTAAAAAGAGACATTATAAATAAAAACATCTGGCCAACTTACTTCAAACAGAACATGAAAAATCCGGCCAAGAATACACACACACACACCACACACACACACACACACACACACACACACACACACACACACACATATATATATATATATATATATATATATATATATATATATATGTGTGTGTGTGTGTGTGTGTGTATGTGTGTGTGTGTGTGTGTGTGTGTGTGTGTGTGTGTGTGTGTGTGTGTGTGTATGTGTGTGTGTGTGTGTGTGTGTGTGTGTGTGTGTGTGTGTGTGTGTGTGTGTGTGTGTGTGGTGTGTGTGTGTGTGTGTGTGTGTGTGTGTGTGTGTGTGTGTGTGTGTGTGTGTGTGTTCTGGAAGTGCACTGGCCTGTTTTCTGTTTCTCTTCTTGACAATGAGGGGGAAGGGTGTTTGTAAATAGGCGCATATGCACAACAGCAGGCCTTCAAAAAAAGCGTGCCCGACCGATCACGGTAAACTTGCATATAGCGGGCTGGCTGGTAGATAGTCATTATTTTTTGCTGATTTGAGTTTGCTCGAGTACGAAGCCACGTTCGTTGCAGCAGTAATCCCAAGAAGTACATAACTAACTCAGTCACATACTTTACAGCAAAAGGAAATCCACATCCCGCAAGCCTATAGAGTTCTAGGAAAGGGATGAGACCTATGTGCGCGTCCCCGAGGTCAGATAATTGAATGCATATTGTTCGCTATAGTGAGATAGGGTACAATTGCGATGAAGGAGCAGTAGAAAAGGGGAAAACAGTATGGCCAAGTATTTCACTCCAGAGGTCAAGGGATCCCTGGTAGCCTATTTGCGCTTAGGCGCAACGTGGGCGCAACTACAACAGAAGCTCAAGTTTGCGAAGCAACGACAACGCCGCGCCTGGCCCTGGCGGTGAGCTCCGGAAAACTTGAGGAGAGACGCGAGAGAGGGCGTAGGCGAGTCGGTGGAAGTGTGGTAGCTTGGGCTAGTTGGTATGGCATGGAAGAGGGACACGTGTCTTTCGTGTCCCTCTTGTCTCTGTGTCGTCGTTTTGTTCTCGCGCTATAACTATTGTCGAGTCGGTGAGTTTCGCCAAAACGGGAGTGCGTGCGACACGCGCGCAACGCGTTCTGCAGTCGGCGCGGGAAACTTGGGCGCCGTGCCGCCAGCTTGGCGCGCTAAAAAGAGGCGCTCACTGCGCGAAGTTGCCTTTCCGTGATGGAAGAAGCGGCCCCACGGAAGGGTCGGCGAGGCCCGACGTATTGTTGTGTTGTGGGCTCCCACAACAATGCAGACTTACACCAAGGGAGGCTCTTCACGTGTAAAAGCTGTATCAGTTTGCGGAAATGTTGTAGGCCCGTGTGCTCAGATTTGGGTGCACGTTAAAGAACCCCAGGTGGTCTAAATTTCCGGAGCCCTCCACTACGGCGTCTCTCATAATCATATGGTGGTTTTGGGACGTTAAACCCCACATATCAATCAAGCTGTATCAGTTTCCCCGCAAGTCACAGCCGGCGAACACAGCCACGTTCGCGAATGATAGAGCACGCATGGCACGAGAGCCGAAAAAAAAAAACAAACAAACAAACAGGCGAGCACTTCAACTTGACTCGCTGTGGTTAAACTTCAGCTTGCTGCTTCGCGGCGACGTCAGCGGGTCATGCGCCCACGTCACGGAAGACATGACTCTAAAGCTTTTCGGACATTTTAATGCCATGACCGTATAATTTCAGTTTTTACTTAATATTTAGCACGTCGCGAACGTTTGCACATGGCAGTACACGGCTGCTACTGCTAGATAACACATCAAAACAACAAATATTTGGTTTCCGTAAACGTCAACACAGCACATCGATAGCGTACGCGGCTTCATGCCGGCAGAATGAGTCTTACCTCGAGGCATACGTCGTATACCGTATTATCACGGAGGACCCGAGAAATGTATTTCCCAGTAGCTCGGGCGTCCTCGTCTTCCGTCGTCTGCTCCACATCATAAACTCGACTAACGAGCTTTCCTTCTTTTGTTCGATTCGCTTCTCAGAAGTGTCTGTCTAGCTCAGAGATCTTTATGAAGCCGCACCGCTGGCGGTACATTGTGAGGTGACTCAAACGCACCACGCGCTCTCTGCACGAGCACGTAAGCGATCGGCAGCGCATTAGAGGGAAGGGAAAACACGCGATATACATCCCCGATTTCTACTTTTCTACCAAAGATGGCGCTGCCTGTGCAGAGTCACAGCGCCACCATGGGTTGCTTTGGCTTCCTTATGGTACACAAACAAGCACACATGCACGCGCTGAGGAGAAGAATGGTTTGCGGCTTCGGAAAATGATCGTAGATGTGCTGCTGAAAGATTCGGGGTGGGTCACGCTTTGTGTTTGATCAAGCATGAACGACGTTATTGGCCAAGCACGCTTCGGATACGGCTGTCAGGGGAGTGAACTCAGTGTACCGACCAAACATCGGGCGCATTGGCTCGAGGCCTCTCGTTCAAGAGGGTAGAACACGTGCTGGTCGCCGTCTGAAAAACTGTATCTATAGGTATATTCTTTAGGCGATACGTGCCGCTCGCCGAGAGCACGAACAAAAAAGGCGTCAACAAGGGAGACGCTTACGCGAGCTGCCTGGAATGCCCGGCAAGATAAAACGTTTGGGCGGTGTACACCGTAGCACCTCCTCGCGGACGTTGTTATCGCACCAACCGACAGACCGTTCCCCTGCTCAGGCGCTGCTGCACAATAAACGCCTCGGCCGCCCTCCAGTGGAGCAGACGGGTCCTCTTTGTCCTGGCACGTTCTGAGCACCCAGACCTCTCACAAAGGTGAGCAGTCTTTTCGTCACGCTATCGAAAGAGACGCGGCTAGAAACAGTACCTTCTTTGTTTGTAGAAAGCAAAAAACACGTGACAAGATGCATTATAAATCTTTATAAACCAATGTGCGGAGCGCGGGGCAAATTGTGTGTTTGCCGACTGCCTCTCTCCCCCAATGCATTTTAAAGGGCAACCTATACTGCCATTCTCCTTACCGCAAGAGAGAGAAACAACTTTATGGACGGCTCAACGAGGTCGTTGAATTTAGCTTGCCGGTGCGTCGAAGGGTGGCGTCCCGTAGCTTGCTACAACCATTTCGTCCTAGTTAATCACTTCTGCCTGAATATGGTGCTCATTTGATGACAGGAGTCACTGCCACGCCTCGAGGGAGGAAGCTGGCATTATTGTTTTCAGAGATGGGTTGCCCTCGCATTGCCGAAGAATGTGATTCTGGGTAGCCTTTTCCTTCGTATCATCCCATCTCCCGTCTCCCCATTTCAAAACACAAGCAGCGGTCGCGGACGCAGTCGGTGGGTCATGTGCCCCGATGACATCTATGGAAGTCCTGCGGAGGAGACGCACCCGTTTTTTACAGCTGCACTTCCACAATCTTTTACTGCACTCCAGCCATGAACGACAGCGGATCAAATTTTTTGGGGGTGACAATACACCTTATTGATATTTTTTTAAATGTTCAAAAGCGGAATCAAGTCGGAGGAGCAAAAATGAGCTGTTAAGTAGGCTGTTTTCGCCCTGACTTCGTTACGAAATGAACCATTGTGTACGCATGCACAGGCATACTCTAATCCCTCCCTCTTTCCCCCTCATCCTCTTTCTCTTTTTCTCACACTACCCCCCCCCCCCCCACACGCGCGCAAAAGAATGCACGTTTAGTTATTTTATTTACGTGCACATAGTAAGACGCATCTCGGGTTACTGCGAAATAACTTCTCCCATCGTTTGACACTTTCTTTCAACACATGATTAAAACCTTAGTGTTTTCAACATATGATGAGAACACCAAGGTACTCAATTCACTTGATTTAGTTAAAAATGATGGACACTGCTTTTATTAAAGTAGTTGGATCAACACATGGTCATGCGTGAGGATTTACAGTTGCTAATATTTTACTGGAGTTGTACGTGCCGAAACCACGATACGATTAAGAGGTGTACGCCATAGTGTAATGATTGATTGATTTGTGGGGTTTAACGTCCCAAAACCACCTAATGATTATGAGAGACGTCGTAGTGGAGGGCTCCGGAAATTTCGACCACCTGGGGTTCTTTAACGTGCACCCAAATCTGAGTACACGGGCCTACAACGTTTCCGCCTCCATCGGAAATGCAGCCGCCACAGCCGGGATTTGATCCCGCGACCTGCGAGTCAGCAGCCGAGTACCTTAGCCACTTAACCACCGTGGCGGGGCTACGCCGTAGTGTAGGTCTCTGGATAATTTTTACCTACATTACAGCTCCTCCTACCAAACCAGGCAATGCTCATAAAATTACCTGCCTCCAGTCACTTATTAAACCAAGAGTATTGTAACTGGCATTAAACCTGGTGGCATAATATTTTTGTGTTTGTGCCCTATTTTAAAGGCTCTTAATCGTTCATTTACAAGGCGAACAACATTTGAACATAGTGCGAAGTATTCATGACGCGAACACTTCGCACTGACGTGAACAGCGCTGAAGCTCCATTACAAAAAATAATAAATAAAATAAAACCATCTGCGAGTTTGCTTGCTCGCACTTCATTGAGAACACGTGCATTTACAAAGTCGCTACCCAACATGAAGAAGCATGTGATATTGACTGCTTCATTGATCTTGACCGACCTTATCTTGCACATGTTTGTCACGCTTTTATGACCTGAGTGATCTCAGTTGAATTATTCAGAAGTTCAATTTTGGCACATTTGCCGTTATGTGCATGCGACGATTCCTTTGTGGCGCTAGCACAAAGCGATATAGGAGCACACCTGAACTCTTCCTCGGCCATGAAATCTGGTGATTTTATATGAACGCGACTCTCTCTGTACATTGCTGCTTGTATATAGTGTACAAGCAGCAGCGTACGAAGAGGACCGCCTTTACTGTATGATCAAGTAGGGCTGCATTTACTGTGGAAGCACGATAAACCATACCAGCGTTTCAATAAAAATCGTGATACAGGTATACTTCATGTCTGGCGGCAGAAAGTTCAGCACTATAGGAAGCTGAAAATGCATCGCTCCGTCTAGGCCATAGACGAGAGAAAGTTTTTCGTTCCCTGAAGTCTCATACAACACTCAGCGGTATAGTCCGTCGTATAGTTCGGGGTCGCTTTCGTGAGTCTCAGCGTATTCCACCGATCTGTTCCTTCTTTGCATCTGGTCCAACATGGTGTAACAGTGAGTATTCGGGGCTCGGCTGCTGACCCGAATGTCACGCTTTCCATTCCAGCCACGGCGGTCGCATTTCGGTTGAGGCGAAACAGAAGCCCGTGTAGTGTGCGATGCCAGTGCACAACACGTTAAAGCACGTGGTTGGAATTTCCAAAGCCCTCAACTATACGGCATCTCTTATAAAATCAATTCGTGGTTTCGGGGCGGAAAACCCCAGTTATTATTATTATTATCACTATATTATATTATTATTATTATTATTATTATTATTATTATTATTATTATTATTATTATTATTATTATATTATTATTATTATTATTATTATTATTATTATTATTATTATCGAGCCTGTTCCCCGAAGTTACGCAGCGAGTATCATTGTCTCTTGAAGCAGACGCCCGTCGTTAGCGTTCTTGTTTCACATTGTTTTAGTTTCCACACGATGAAGCCGCCAGAATGGCGTCATATATTCACTCGCTTATCGTCGCATACTGAAGTTATTGTACGTCTGCTGAGGTCAGCCCGTGATTACTCACTATACAGTGTGGCAAAACGTGACAAACTCTTTTTCTCGGTTCCTGGTATCCTGGTGTTAAAACTGCATACCTATAGCGATGGAGTGCTACACAATAATTTCGAATGTATTCCGAGAAACAGGGTTCTAGCACTGCTTTACACAGAGGTTTCCTTCTTACTTTTGTTATTATATTTATTATATTACTACGGCTCGGTTGTAACGAGGTTTATTTGGCCGTGAACACGGTAGCGAACAAGCGCCACGGATCCGGAGATGAATCACACATCTAAAAACGATGGCGACATGTCAGCCAGAACAGGTGGTGATAATTGACTGCTGTTCAGATAAAGATGATGTGCATAACAGATGCCTAGAATATTGTTTTCTGTGCCCACAATCTGTAAGGCTTCACGATGAATGCTCCTTAGCAAACTAAACCACAGCATTTACGTGCATAATATATCAACACAGGTTAGCTATATTAGCTATATTATATGGCCCACTGTTGTCGCTTCAAGACCGCTAAATGGTTGCTAACGTTGGCTCGTTGACTTACTCTTGGTAAATGTCGGCTATTGTTGCTTTCCAAAAAAGAAAAAAACAAAATAGAAAACCTTGACACAGTTGCGGCTGGTCGCCGGGCGTGTTTTTGCCCCACAAGATCTGCCATCTATGCTATAACTTGCACGCATTCACTTGC